TAAATAAAAACGCATTCAACGTTTTATTATTTCCCAGTAATTTTAACAATTATTGCTATTACGAACTTTAAATTTGTTTAAAAAATCTGAGAAGAAAATATTTATTACTAAATTATATTGATGTATGTTTTATGATTCACACTTATGTACATAATTATTTATTGTAAATTTATTAAAAATTAATATTGTAATTATTATTACACAATTTAAGATTTTTAATTTGAAACTAATTCAAAAAATGTTTTTTTAACAACTTCGATTTCTCTGTCTTATAGTCTGAAAATATGGTAGGTAATATATATGGGAATACCGGACCTTGAATGAATATCACTTATATTTAAGTGAGTCAATTTAAAATAAAACATGGAGGCGAATACCGGAAATGCGATGCATATGCGGAATTCAATCTATAATAATATTCTTTGAAATAGTTTTAGTATTAATTTTATTCCAATAACAATACAATTGAATTAATGAATGATATGATAATTATTGTATGATGCATTTTCTTGTTGTAATTTAAATGCATTTACTTGATTTGATTAAAATGGAATTGAAACCCGTTTTATATTATTATTTTATATGTGTGAATATAAGATAGTAAGGATGTATAAAAGGTTATCTAATTCCAAATAGTGCATTATCAAAGTGTATTCAAAACTGTGTAACGAAGTTATTTGCATTCGGAATTCTACGAGAAGATAAGGCGAGTTCCTCTCTCGTTAGTGGAGTGTCAGAAAATCCATCTTCTTGGGGGCCGCCATGTTTGGTTCGGCTAACTGTATTTAGTTGAAGAGTGAAGCCACATCCAGCCAGAGCCGGAGAAGCAGCAACAGCATTCACGTTTCGAAAGAAGGTCTGCGCGGTGAATCATACCTTATGCATTTTTATGGCCGTTAAGTCGTCTTATCATGGCGGAATATCCTTAATTACAGTTCGAACAAAAACCGGCTCCGGAGGAAACAGGCACATTTGGGCGTGGAGGGTAGATCTTTGTAGTCTTTTACACACGCACCGGGGGTTGGTTTCGTATTCCGAACAGAACTAAGAATGCAGAAGGATGAACAGCATAACAGCAGCAACACTACAAGCACAGTCGGTTACGTTTCGTTTCATATTGAAATCTAATCGACCTTTAAGCTTCGTCGTCTGCACGGCGACTGGTGGGTTTTTGGTGGGAGAGCGAACATGCCTTAAACCAGTTTACTTGTTACTAACTCTAGAAGTTAATTAAAGACAAGCATTGTATGTGCACAATAATGCCTCCAGCTTTCCGACGATGAGTATATATGTGTGCATACGATCATCGACTGGTTTCGTTTTCATCGAAAACCGTAAAATCCACAATTCGCATGCAAATTTTATAAAGTATTTACTACCAATTAACAACTACCTTTTATATTTCTTTTTTGTCAGTTTACTCGCACTTGACCTCGCAATCAAATTGTTAAATAAATACACGAACGCGAATCCAGCCGAAGGACGCTACTTGATTTCATCTTCACCTTTGTTCACAGTTCCAATACAATCAAGTTCACAGCTCGCATTTATTATTTCTAAACATTTCAACGTAAATAAAAGCAGCGAGAGTTGTCAATGGAAATGTTTATAAAGAATACCATTAGTCATTGTGTGTAAATCCGAGATATTTCCAGTTCGAATAATATTATCCTTATTAGGTGAAAGGCTAACGTCCTTAAGCCTCTCAAATCATGCAGTATGTGCATTTTTATTTACACCTCATCTTCATATAACATTCAGAAGATACGAGACAGTAAATCTTACATTTATATTATTAATTTTAAAAATAGTTTTTATTTGTTATATTTCCTTTTATGATATTATTTATGACTTATTATGGAACCTATTAACACTTAATTTATAAACTCAAATTTCACAATAGGAAATAACCATTTAACCATAGATATGATTTATCGTTTCAGAACACCTTTTCCAACACACACCTGGATATCCCCGATGTTACATCTGTTTGTATCGAAGCGTACACATTTTGTTACCAATTTCTATAAACACTTCATATTTAAATTGATAATATAATACAGCTTATTTGCTAAAAATTAAGTAATATGACCATTGCTTTATATACATTTTGTTATTATAAAAATTGTAAAAAATTGTCTAAGTTCTTTAATGTGTACTTTTTTTCAGTTGCATTTTAATTTAAGTAAAAAATAATAAATACGGAAATTACATAAAAATTTACATATTTATTTTACTTACATATTAAGAATTTTGTGATCATAGACGTAAAAATTAATTGATAAATAAATTAAATATTACCGTTCATACAGATATTTTAATAATGTGAAAAAATTTGTTGTTGTAACAAATCACATATTCATAAAAATGCATTTATAATTATTATACTGAAATAAATATTTATTTTATATATTCTATAATAAACTTATTTATAAAATTTCAGTAAAATATGAATATTTCAGTTTGATATTTCGTATTAATTATGCAAAGTACTCTCCTTGTTTTGGTTTTCCATCATTAATGGGAAGTTTCGATGCTAATAACAAACAACAAGAGCATCAGCATTGCCGCAGAGGCAGAATAAGATTATCAAAGTTCATAGAGCACCAAAGCCAATGACACCTAATGGGATTAAATGGGAATACGTACGTATTATTACTAAGGAATGCAACGCACGTTTCCAAGCCATTTGAATATGCATATCCATAAAAACACGACTAGTCTTAAGTTTGTAAAGAATATCCTTTGCTCTTTCGCCGTCGTTCATATTTGTTTTGCGTCGTCGAGCTAATTGCATCAATGAGAGGAGAGATTCCCGTTTTTATTGCGTCCATAAAGATACAGAAGTTGTAACCCGATTCCTTTATTGTTTGTTGTTTGAGCTTAGTAAGTGAGAGAGAAAAGTTTTGCAGATCTCATGTTTCGACACGATGAACCAAAAAAAAAATATACTATTCTTTCCAAACCATTAGCAGCCTCGGATGGGAGATTAATTAAATAATACTTGATCAATTGTAACGTAATCGAAGTTAATTCTGTAATGCGTCATAGCTTCGCATTTCATTTACCATGCACTTTTCGTCGTTTGAACGTGAAATAAATCCAATGGTTAATGAGGAAGACAAACACGTACGTGTGTGGAGAAGTTTTTATCATAGTTCATGGAACACAAAGCTAAATAATCAATGTAAATTATGGTTATTGACCTCTTTTCTAAATTTAATTTAATTTAAAACGTGTAATGGGGCTCCGTTTGTTTTGCAAATAAAGCTACTAACACTGGTTTAGGTACAACTTTGATGGGTGACTGGTTTTAATTTCGAGTCCTGCAGCACGGAATTTATAATTTAAATTAACTTGAATCTCGTGGCATTCGCGTTGCAATAAAGTCAACCAAAATTCGAATCAAAATTTTGTTTCTTATTTTAAGTTTTTAGCGCGCATTTCAAGACTGCATTAAGCTTCCTATTAATGTGTCAAATGTAACACTAAATGTATATGAGCGGGCCAAGGAAAATAAACAAATGAGACGTCGACCTTTCCACCTAAATGCGCGTCAAACGGAACGAAACAAAACAAGAAAGAAAGAGAAAACACATAGAAAAAGAACAACAAACAAAATTGTATTTTATCCCCGGATCTAATGAAAATACACAGAATATATTTAGAGAGCAAAGGCAAAGAAAAGCGAATTAAAATCGAATAATCCGAATTATTTCGGGTGTGGAAAGTTTGACTTGAAACCCCTCTCTTTTGGTATTATATACTTCCATAATACCAAAACGTATTCTTTTTTTTTGCTAATTCATATGGAACATCTAATTATTAGTACGAAAATTGAATGGAGGGAAAAAATCTATACTTTATTGTATTAGGGTGGTGTTTGTCTGTCGGTGGAAACTCCCCAAACACGTGCACATGTTCCCTGAGATGAGGGGGAGGGATTGCCACCGATCGGCGGTCTGTCGTTCCCTTTGGAATATAAGTGTTTTTGGCGTACCAGCCTTTTTTCCTCAATAAACACTCCAGAGTTGGTTCATCCTCTGGTCCAGACAGTCTGTCGAGTTTCATATTTATCCTCTGTATATTTATTCCCCTACGAACACATGCAATTCGGAATCCAGATTCCCGGCAGATGTTCAATTAGAGAGACTATTCCCGCACAAAAACATTTCTTATGATTCATTCACAAAATCTAATCGCGACATTTTTTTGCTCTAGAAACGGCAAAAGCGCGATTAATCGACATAGCTTTAGCTCATTGATTTATTAAAGCCCATCGGCACGTAATTGGTCCATCAATTTGACTAATTGACTTCTGTCAACATGAGGCATCGATACAATTTTAGTGATCATCTCAGATTATTCATTTCTAAAATATCATATCTTTCTTACAAATTTAATATTATAAATCAAAATCATAAATTTATAGTGTTAGCTTTTACATTTTTATAACTAAAAGTATTAAAAATTAATGCATCTTTTTAAAATGCACTATAGAATCATCTTATATTATTACTATAGTAATTTTGAACATTAAATACCATTAAACTTCTCGAATAGTCATATGTAAATTTTACCTTGGAATAATGTTTCGTATAGTTAAATTAATACTAGATAATATCGCGAACGATGTTCTAACAAGTTGAAATTTGCACGACTCTTGTTCATATCGTGCTAAATATGTAATAATATAATAATCAAGTCGCACGCTAACATTATATAGCAATATTATTTTCATATATGCATTATTATAAAGTTTAAATTGCTAATTAATTAAATCGTGATTTGTCTTTCATAGGCGGAGTTATTTCTCAGTGGAATTTAATTAACTAAGTTCTACTGTGCAATAGGCTACAAATTAATTATTGTACACATGTAAATTTTGATTAAGCAAAAGTTCCAAGGATATAACGGTATACAATCAGAGGTAATTCTAATTGAACTAATCACTCAAAATTTAATGTAATTACACGAATCAAATAAAAAAGGATACTTACAGTTGTCTGTTTGTTATTCTACTTGTCTCCGGTTAATCCTCTTTGAAAGTCCAAATGTAATTCTGAAAGGAAAATGAACAAAGTTAATTTTATGTTTTGGAAAAATTAAATTATAAATTTCTAGGCGGAAACGGCGGCACCGGAGATGCAAGAAAAAGAGGTCATTAAATATATTTTTTCCCTCCCTCATTCCCTCCACTTGTTTTTGAAATGCGTGGGGTTCACTGAGAAGGGAGGCAGAAAAAAAAAGAGAAGCGTACAAAAGAATTAGGCAATCAACTCCTATTATGAGTCTGAGTTCCTCTTCTCTCTTAGCGGGTGAGCATAGTATTATGGGGAATCCCTTTTGGCCCCGACCTTAGGGGTTGGGAAATTACAGCCCTTATTGAGACCTAATACGTGCCACTGCAACAGCAGACACGCGCGGACGGCATTTGCGTTTTACGACCTGCCGACCATCCTGGGTCTCGTCCTGTGGAAAAATACACGAACTATTCGGGAACGATGTAGGACTAGGAGAAGCGAGAAAAGGGAAGAGAAGGAAAAGAGAAAAACGAGCGGTAAAATTTACAGGCACTATCCTAAAGGAATTCCTTTGACAATTGGGGCTCAGTCTATTTATGCCCGGTCGACATTCGACAAGGGATCAGGCATATAAACAAAAGCGGGACCCGAAGCTCCCGCTCCCTTTTTTTCTGTGCTGCTGCTCTCTTCTTAAGCATTGTGTACAAGTCCATGCAGACGTGACATTAATAGGGCTTAAATTCTATTTGCACATCGCCGAACTTTACAACAATACAACAAAAACCGGGAATTGCAAGCCTCTAGTCCATTATCTCGGACACCAATTATTGCTATTATTCCGATGTACAAAGTTATGGTGCATGAAGGAATCACTGAATATTGGGCGTTTATATAATAGATTACAGAAGATTTAGAGAAGAGCATTTTGAATTATTCTATAACTAGAATAATTTGTATGGTCAATAGTCTATACAAATTCTTAGCACTAAAGAAGCATATTTCTATTATAGAAGAAGTATAGTATAGTAATCGAATGTAGATACTGAGAATCATGGATCTTACAAGTTTTATGCATATGTTACTAAAAAGGTTTCTGTCCAAACTTTCCATTAACATTAGGTGACCACATTCTTGAAGTTGACAAAAGGTGTCAATCGTTCATTTCATTTGTTTCCCCGAAAAATATTGTTTAATTTCCGTTAGTTATGAACATCAACTGCAAAAGGTGTCAATCGTCTATTTAATATCTTTCCCCAGCAAAAATTGCTTAACTTTCATAAGCTATGAATGAACATTTGAAAGAATATATACCCAAGATATCACTTCAGTTAAAAATGTGAATTTCTCAAGCACCTCGCGGTAGGAGTCCTAACAAATACATAACTATGTCAAGTATTTCTTGAAATTTAACATATGCGTGTTGTTCTACTATTCATTTACTCATAGAGAAAGTGAGAGATGATAGTGTATTAATTGATCTTTTAGACGGACATATATATATATCATCATAAAGAATATTCTATATTAGAAAAATAGTAATTTTAATTATAAAATACCTTTCGATCGATTTGAGAGAAACCTCATAAATAGAAAATTTAAAATTTCAAGTTTCTATTTGAATAAATATTTTGAAACATTGAGTAACGTAATTTGAATCTAATTATAGTGGCCTAACAAGGAAAAAAACATCTAATAAATACAGAACATACTAGTATAAAAAGTATAGCTTCAAGTTTTATTTTATTTAAATATATACAACAACGTCCGTTTACTCTTGTTCCGCTCTTCAGTTACGTGGCGTCATGCTATCCAAGTCATTGTTTTTAAATGAAACCAAAATATAGAACTAATTAGCTCATAGCATTGGAAACCGGCAACGAAATCTGCTCCATTTCTCAGTCTGGATAATTCAACACAACATACGGTCACTGGTCAATTAGAAAGTTAATCCTTGTAGAAAATACTCTCGGATTTAATTAGGAGACATTTCTTATCAAGCGAATAACAATAGACAATGACTTTATTTTTAATCGGCTGTAATTACAGCGCCGTTTCTTTCCATCTGAAGATTAACAAGCGTTTCATCAAAATAATAAATATGTTATAGAAAAGAAGTATTAAAATGATCTAAAATAGTCAAAATTCATACATAATAATTTAATTTGAACTGTTTCATGTATACCAAAAAGCTATCAACTGTTGTTATTCTACTCATGAAAATTATATTTATATATAAAAAAAAAAATATAATTTTAAAATATTTAAAAATTTAATGAATATGAATCAAGTTTAGGTTTTAATGACTACAAGGCGTGGAGAAACGATTTTTTTTTAATGAATTTTCCATTTTCGATTTCACCGGAAGCCGTTTCATTTTATTTAATGGTCTATTATGACGTTTCATTAGATGATTTCGAAAGCCCCATTTCCACAGAACAACGCAGCAGCAGGCAAGACAAAAAAAATAATAATAGAATAAACAAAAAAAAAACAGCACATACTATAACTATAAAACGAACAGATTTCAATTAAAGAGGAGCTAAGTGATTAACGAGGAAGAAAATGTGGTAGGATTAATCGAATGCGGGTCGCAGGAATAATAAATACAATGATCATCAGGATTTTTACGACTTATGAAAATATTACTGTTAAAGATAATATTTACTTTAGAAGAAGAAACAAAAAAATAAGGTTGTATATAGGGAAATTCTTCTGGGGCGGTAGATTTGACTGAGAACCACATGTTGTCTTCGTATCTGTTTTGTTTCTAAAAAGCCATCAGAATTTGTTTAATCTGGATTAAATGGATGGGCCACTGATTAGTAAAAAGCAAGTAAATAAAGAAACGTGTTTCTGTTAACGTATCTAATTAGTTCTCGGCAATTTAGGTCATAGCAAAACCAAAAATTAACTACGATGACACGTATTTAATTTTCACTCTTAACCATTTTCGATTATTTTATATACAATATAAATTACTTTACTTTGGAAGTATAAATAAAATGTTTATATATTCTCTATAGTCAGAATTATGTTATTGTAATAGTGATTACTTGTAACTCTTTGTTTGAACTAAATAAACGTTCAATTAACAGATACATGCATGTGCGCTTTCATTGTATAACGAGAAACCATCAATCGTGCAACTTGGACTAATGAAAACAAGTTTTCGAGTGGCTATTTTAGGAACATGCATTAGCCATTAGTCTGCATTTTTTCATTATCGAAAACGAAAATAATAAACGAAAATAACAACGCGCTGTATTATTTTTAGTTTAACCTCGCATCAATGACGAAAAAACATTTCAATGCAAGATCATGGCTTATTCAATTTACTCAGGTTTTTTTCGTAGCATCCAGATTTAAATACTAGATAGATGACAAAAAAGCGCAAAATGAGAATTTGGGTCATGTCAAATCGTGTGTATGTGTAGATTTGTAGATAAGGCGCATGAATGGAATGTCTATTCAAAAAAAAGTTCGTTATATAAATGTCGCTCCATTTTTGCCACTAATTCATTTATAACAACATTTTTTAAGGTCCAAAAAGAAATCCTTTTGAATTGTTAACAATCACAATTGAATGCGGACTCATAATAAATAATTAGTGTTCAACCTATGTATAATTTCAATGGAACTTTTATTTTACTAAAGTACAGAAAAAATTATTGATTAACTTTTTGTATTATTAAAAGTTTATAATCAACTATAATTATTTTAAATTAGATTAGAAAAAAGTATTTAAAAAAATATATATACTTTAATGTCGGAAACTGAGCTGCATATATTTAGTTATGTTTATTGTTATATTTTTATATTATATTATTTTTCGAGATGAAAGCAAACTTTAATAAGAAACTTTTTGATGTAACTACAATGTACATATGTAGATTGAGGTAATGGAATGAGAAAACTTCATATAATTAATTATTGTTTTCGTCTGCGAGTTCATAAATAGATGCAATGTTTATACCTTGTACCTATAAGTAGCTGCAGCACAGTGAATAAATCACGTACAGTGCAGTATCAAAGAATGTTTACTTTGCAGTTTTCCAAACATCGAGGGTTCCAAAGAATGGTCGTACTTGCACATAAACAGGAAACTACACAAACACATTTACATGAACATGTCTGCGGTTTTGTATTGGCAAGCAAAAAAATCGATAAGAATATTGAAGTATTTACTTTAGTTGCAAAAGAATAAACAAAGTAAATGCTTTGTCTGAACTCGTTCCCATCTTATTCACAAAACAAAAATCTGTCTAATTTAACCATGTTTTGCAATATCAATTATTTACAATAATTAACAATCATGAACTACGTTATCTACGTTACTATAGTACTTTTGATACTGCTTTGGTCAATAACCACTGATAATCCAATTAGTATTCGCTACAAAACTGTTTGATAATTTGAATAAGTATCTACTAATTGTACACAATATAATGTATAGAAATATACAGAAGTAAATAAGATCATGATGCTATTATTCCCATCTGTTCAATTGGAACACGTTTTAGTTTGATGTAAATAATTTTTATCATTTTAAAACTAGGGGAGACACTTTATTTACACAAATATTTACCATTGTCGAAATTAATGGAGCTCGGTCCGTAGTTTTATGTTCTACGGTTTTGGGTGTAGAACAATAATTCGACGATGGCGGAAGGGAAAAAAAATGGTGAGTAGGAAACAGATGTGGCTGAGGCCCCAATGACCCACCACAACATTAGGGTAACATTCCGCATATCCATAACACTTTCTGTATTACGGCCATGCGCACCCTCTGCCCTTTCCGACCAAATAGATTATGTCTATGGCGTTGAATTCATATACGTCGAAGGCATTAATCTTCCATGCGAGCACAAAAATTGAGTCTGTTCCGTTCACAAACATACAACCTCCGACAACGAATGCCCCTCGAATGTTAATCGATTTGTACTATGTTGGCATGTGGCAAAATTTATTTTATTTCGCACAATGATTCAACACCCAAGAAGTACATAAATCTTGCGCACAGGCGCCAAGATTCATTCGA